CATAAATTGTTACCGACATGCATCTGTCACAGAAATGTAGAACATTATCAATTTATTAATGGATATCATTAGCACAGAGTAAAGAGTAAGGACCAGAGGGGAAGCTTCTTAACAACGTTGAAAATATATACCTATTCTGATAGGGTTGTCACATGACGCATGTGAAAAATTTAAGGAAAAAATAAATATATTGTATAGCATAAGACAACATATGTACTAATTATAACTTATATTAACGTAACAACATATCTATTAATTGTTCGAAATCAAGAGTGTTGATGTAAGTGGTGGTGGTGGTAGTAATGGTTGTGATGGTGGTCGTGGGTAGTGGCGGTGGTGGTGGTGGTGATTATAGTAATGGTGGTGATGGTGGTGGTGTTGATGGAGCCACTGTTGGTCCACTGTCTACTACAACTACCTACGATACTACCACCTCCACCACCACTGACACCATCAGCAAAACTATCGATCAACACCAGCACCACTTCCACCAACACCAATCCCACCACCCCCACCAATGCCTGGCGGTTGTATTCCAATCATAATGCAGTGGTATTTACTCCTGGGGTCGCGACTCGCAAAAAGTAGCTTATATTCTTCACAAGGAAGCAACCTACTTCTAAAGTGGGTGGGTAGGATATCCTGCCATCTACGGCACTGTCAAGGTTAGACTGACTAACGTTTCAAGTAGGTGAGACCAACTTCATCACTCGGTGACGTACCTGTCTAACACATTCTCACTTACTTATCAATGTTATTACCTAGTTTTATTGTATATTATTAAATACGTAAAACGATACTTACTTCACTTGATTTCTCGGGTACAAAAAAAAGGAAATATCCTTATTTTCTCTAGAATTATTCATGCATACCGTACAACTATTAGGCATTTTTGCTTATACAGAACACTTATTATGTACCCATATAAATTTATAATAACTTAATTCTAAAAGTATTTTAATTATTTTAATTAAAATACTTAAATCTAATTATTTAATAATTGCAAAAAAACTTAATAAATTAATTGATGTATAAAATTTCGAAATATTGTGAGTCTATTTATTTAAATGCGCACGACTAACAAACAGCCTTTTCATGGATACTCTGACTGAGCCGGCGCAAACCGGTTTGTACCCTGACGGAGCGTCGGTGAGAGCTCACGCACACATCTCTGCGCTATGTATGGGTGTATTCGCAGCGAGCCGTTTGTATGTAGGTTCCCGTCTGGTCGGTTTCTTTACTCATGTGTCATTAGTTTATTTTTAAAAGCTGCGGAAATATAAATACTTGTGTACTTAAGTGTTTTTATACATTTTTGTAGAAATTAACCATTACAATGATTTTACATGTAGATATATAAATATATATATAATGCGTGAGGGTCATGGAACACTCGGTTGGAACGAAGTTCCTTGCATAGTATATTATTATTGATAAACGTAGGTATTATATTATTGAGGACGTTTTGATATTGTAGGACGGAGTGCAGAGTTGGCACGTGGAATGTTAGAGGAGGCATGAGAGATAAGACGAATGAGTTGATCGAAATAATGAAAGAAAGAGAATTAGATGTCGTGTGTATGTCGGAGACCAAACGGAAGGGCAGTGGTACTGAAGAGCTCCCTGGCGGGGCGTTTGCTCTATGGTCCGGAGTCCCGGAGAGCGAGAACGCCTGCCAGGGAGTGGGGGTGCTGCTGTCTTCTCGGTTGGTCGATGTTATGACTGAATATAAGTTTGTGAACTCAAGACTTCTCTGGGTTCGCTTTAAATTGGGACTGACGAAGTTATTCCTTTTGGCTGTTTATGCGCCGGTGGCTTCGTCGTCCAGGGCTGAGCTGGAGGAGTTTTGGGAGAATGTAAGAGAAGTTCTAGATTTGGCTAGGGGAAACGAAAGGATTGTTGTATGTGGTGATTTGAATGGATGGGTTGGTACCGCTCGACCAGGGTACGAGTCGGTACTTGGAAAGTTTGGCGATAAAAGGGTTAATGATGCTGGCAAGCTTATACTGGCGGTATGCAAGGAAAAGGGTCTTCTTGTGACAAACACTATGTTTAATCACAAGAAAATCCATATGTATACTAGAGAAAGAAAGAATGAGAGAAGTATGATCGATTTGTTCCTGGTGGATGACCGACTGCGAAAACAGGTTATGGATACGCGAGTGTTCAGGGGTGCTGACCTGTGAACGGATCACTATCTAGTGATTACTAGATTTAGGGGTCTGTTCGCGGGTTGGCGCTACCGGACGACAGTGACAGAACCACAGTCGGTCTGTCGCATCCGAAGCTGGAAGCTTCAGGAAGCGGATACTAGGGACAAATATCATGCGAGGGTAGCCGAAAAGCTTGACACCATCGATGGCAGAAACGAATGTGTAGAAAGAACATGGCAGAACCTTAGGGATGGAATGGTAAGTGCAGCGGAAGAAGTGTGTGGAACAATAAAAAGAGGCAGTAGTAAAAGAAGAGATGCATGGTGGAATGATGAAGTGAAAGAAGCTGTAAAGAAGAAGAAGAAAGCATGGTTAGACTACTTGGCCTCTAGTAATGATAAGGATATGAGAGAGAAGATGAAAGAAAGATATAAGCTGCAGAAAGTTTACACGAAAGCATTGATTGAGGAAGTGCGTGAAAGGTGTAGAATGGAAGCGGATGAAAGGTTGTCGCACAACTTTAAGGAGAACTCCAAACTCTTCTGGAAAGAGGTTGGAAGGACCCGAAGTGGTGCGACGGCCTTAAGAATGAACAAAGTGCTTTCGAGAACTAATGACGTCCTCTCAGAAAAATCGGACGTCATGCAGCGATGGAGCGAATTTTATAGAGAAATGTAGGCGTGTGATGATCTTAGTGAGGGATCCGGGGATGACGCCGTGACTGGCACGCCAGACCCGGACCTCGATGACACTGAGGTCATCAGTATGAAAGAGATTGAACGTGCGATTCGAAGTTTGAAATGTGGTAAGGCTGCGGGACTAGACAGAGTTACTGCTGAAATGGTCAAGTATGGTGGGCCTCGCGTCTGGGACAGCTTTCATCTGCTGTGCAATTTGTGCTGGCGGACGGGGGATGTCCCGGATGATTGGCGATCCGCAGTCATTGTGCCTTTATATAAAGGTAAAGGTTCACATTTTGACTGCGGGTGCTATCGGGCGATCAGCTTGACCAGTTTAGCAAGTAAAGTTTACTCGAAGGTTTTGACACGTAGGATGCAAGAGAAATCGGAAAGATTTCTATGGGAGGCACAATGCGGATTTAGACCTGGAAGAGGATGCACGGATCAAATGTTTTCTCTCCGTATGATCACGGAAAAGCTTCTGGCTGTTAACCAGAAGATTTTCTGTGCTTTTGTGGATCTTGAGAAAGCATTTGATAAGGTTGTAAGGAAGAAAATGTGGGAACTGTTGCCGGGGTATGGTGTGGATGGCCGATTGCTAAGGGCTGTGCAGTCTCTTTACTGTGACTGTAAAGCCTGTGTGCGGGTAGGGCATGACCTGTCACCCATGTTTAGCGTCCAAACGGGCGTAAAACAGGGTTGTGTCATGTCTTCCTGGCTGTTCATACTGTATCTCGACAGCTGTTTACAAAAGCTGAAAGATAGCTGTTTGGGTGTGAAATTGGGTGACATAAAAGTAAATTGTCTGCTGTATGCTGATGATGCAGTGCTTATTGCACCATCAGAGGCAGAACTGCAGCCATTAGTCACGTGTATGAAAGAGGAATGTGAAATTAAAGGTCTCCGTTTGAATGCTAATAAAACTAAGGTTCTGGTATTTGAAAGGGACGAAGAGAGAACGAAGTGTGAAATATGGGTAAATCAGGAATGTCTAGAACAGGTAAATGAAAGTGTATACTTGGGGAGTGCTTTTAGCCGGGATGGAAAATGTGATTTAGATGTGGACAGGCGTGTCGCTGCCGGGAACAAAGTCAATGGTGCCCTGACTGCGTTAGTCAAAAGGCAAGGCGTAGCGAAGAGTGCACGCCTTGCAATACATAACGCAGTGTTGGTACCGACTTTGTTATATGGCAGCGAAACCTGGGTATGCCAGAAGAAGCATAAAAGTAAGTTAAATGCAGTGGAGATGCGATCTCTTCGTAAAATGTGCGGCGTTACTATGGCCGACCGAAAGCGAAACGAAGAGATTCGCAATATGGCAGGTTTGAAAGATGACCTTATCACAAAAATTGATAAGGGCGTGCTTCGGTGGTTTGGGCACGTTGAGCGAATGAGTGAAGACCGAATGGTGAAGAAAATATATAGCGCGAAAGTTAATATTAAAAGGTGTCGAGGTAGACCGAGACTAACTTTCGAAGACCATGTGAGCAAATTGCTCGAAGAGGGTAGGGTCAAGAGTACTCGGATACCTAGACGTGCATGTATGAAGAAGATAATGAATATGAAAGAAGCGAAAGAGATATGTAAGGATCGTGACACTTGGCGATCTGTTCTCTCTGGCTACCCCGTCAGGGATTGTGCGTGAATATAAGTAAGTAAGGACGAGGCTCAAGAAATTATCACCATAATAATCAAGAGAGTCAAGGAAACAGTTTTCATACTACTATTGCAAATAATACTTACACAACGAGTGAGAATAATAAGACAAAGAAAGGTCAAATAAATTGGTTACTAGACAGTGGATGCACAGACCATATTATTAATACTAATGAGTACTTCAATTCCTGTGAGATATTAAATAAACCTGTTAAAGTTAAAATTGGGGACGGCACAATATTAGAAGCTACAAAAATTGGTAATATTAAAACTTATTTCTTGGTCTATGGACAAAAATCTGAAGTGACTCTGACAAATTTTTTTTTTTTTTTTGTAAAAGAAATGAAGGCAAATTTATTGAGTTATTCCAAAATTACTGACAAATATTCAATCAATTCAAGTGGGAAATTGTCAAAAATTTACAACAATTATGGAAAGGTTATAGCAATTGCAATTAAGGAGGCGAGACTGTATAAGATGAAAAGTTACAATACAAATATTGGAAGCAAATATGAGTAAAAAGGAAAAACTACATCGCACTATGGGCCATATTAATTTTAAAAATTTGGAATCAATGTGTAAAAATGAGTTATTAGAAGGATTACCTAAAGATATTGAATATGAATATTTAAAATGTGCAATATGTATTGAAAACAAAATGCATAACTTACCATTTCATAATAATCGACGGAAAGCAGAGGAGATATTAGAGATTGTTCATACTGATTTAAATGGGCCACATCAGACTACAGGATATAATAAAGAAAAATATTTTTTGAGCTTTATCGATGATTACAGCAAATTAGTGAAAGTTTATTGTATCAGATCGAAGGATGAAGTATACGACTACTTGTTACAATATGTTAATGAGGTACAGAACTTGACAGGAAAAACGATAAAGGAACTGCGATTTGACAATGGGAAGGAATATATGAATGGAAGAGTTTTTCAGTTCGCAAAAGAGAAAGGAATAATAATAAAACCCTGTCCAGCATATGTTCATCAATTAAATGGAACAGCAGAGAGATACAATCGTACATTAATGGATATGGGTAGATGTCTTTTATCAGAAGCAAAGGTAGAAAGAAAATTTTGGCCAGAAGTAATTAAAACAGCTGCTTATCTTAAGAACAGAACTTTGACTAATACTATTGAGAGGAAAACGCCGTATGAAATATTTTTTAAAAGAAAGCCATCAGTCCAAAATTTGAAATTGTATGGAAGTAGAGTTTTTGTAAGAATTCGCGAAGAACGGAGAAGGTCTAAATGGGATAAGAAAGCAGAAGTTGGAATTTTACTTGGTTATACTGATACTGGATACAGAGTGTTAATTAACAACAGAGTTATTATTGCTAGAAATTGTGATATAATAGAGGAAGATATTAAATTGTGTGGTTTGGAAGGTGAGGAAGATAATAATACTGAATATAAAATAAAAGAAAAGGAAAAGGAAGATAAAAGGACACAAGAGGAAAGAGATACAATAAAATATGATGAAACAAGTGTAGCAGAAAGTAAAGATGAAGAGCAAAATAGAAAATCAAAAAGACAAGTCAAACGTCCACTTCGTTTTGATGAATAATTCGGTTATTATTGCATATACTGTAACTACTGCGACGCTTTAGCTCCAACTGATTTTCAGGAGGCAACTACATGTAATGAGGCAATGAAATGGAAAGAAGCAATGAATAGTGAGATGGACAGTTTAATGAAAAATAACACATGGACTCTAGTTAACAAACCTCCTAAGGACATAAAGGTAATTGATGTGAAGTGGGTATATAAAAGGAAGAGCGAAAATGAATACAAAGCAAGGTTAGTAGTAAGAGGTTTTCAACACAAAAATTGTATTGATGATACTTATTCTCCTGTTGCTAAAATGCCGACACTTAAACTACTATTATCTTATTGTTGTCAAAATTATTTAGTTATTCATCAAATGGACGTTGAAACAGCATTCCTAAATGGTAGAATCTTATCTGAAGTTTATGTAAAGCAATCAATCGGCTATGAAAATGGAACTGATAAAGTTTATAAATTAAATAAATCATTGTATGGTTTAAAAGAAAGCCCCCGTGCATGGTATGAATGTTTTAATGAGTTCTTGACTAATTTTGGTTTTCGCAGAAGTAAATATGACTATTGTTTGTATGTTAAAAGGGAGAACAACTTAACTGTTTATATTCTTTTATTTGTTGATGATTTATTAATATGTTGTGAAAATGTATAAGTTATTGCTGACATAAAAACTAAATTTTCTGAAATATTTAAAATGAAGGATATGGGTAAAGTAAAAAACTATATTGGTATCGAGATTGAATATGTGTATAATCAAAATAATATCCTAACATTGAGTCAGAAATCTTATATTGACTCTTTAGCTAAACGTTATAATATTGAGGATGCAAAATTGTTTAAAACCCCTATGGAAATAAATTTAAAATTGGAACAATCTGATATTAATGAGGATGATAAAATATAGAAATTTGATTGGTGCTCTTTTGTATATTAGTTCAGGTACCTGATATATCTTACAGTGTAAATTACTTAAGCAGATTCCAAAACTGTTATAATGATACACATTTTAAGTATGCTTTAAAAGTTTTAAAGTATTTGTATTTGATAAAAGATCTTAAATTAACATATTGTAATAATAGTAATGCTGATATTCTGGATTGTTTTGTGGATGCTGATTGGGCAGGAGATATTATAGATAGGAAATCAACTACAGGATTTGTCATTAGATTGTTTGGAAATATTATTTACTGGAAATCAAAGAAACAAAGTAGTGTAACAAAGTCTTCAACATTTGCTGAATATGTAGCTTTATCAGAAGCAGTAACAGAATTAAATTTTCTTATTTATTTAATAAATGATGTCTTCACTAAAGTTTGTAAGCCAGTTAAAATTTATGAAGATAATTCAGGAGCTGTAGCCATTTCTAAATATGGAAACTTTACAAAGAACTCTAAGCACATTGAAGTTCACTATCATTTTATACATGAAAATGTTAAGCAAGGTAGTATTAAAGTAGTAAAAATAGAGTCAGAAAAAAATATTGCAGATATATTTACAAAAGCTTTGGGAAATGTTAAATTCACTAAATTTAGAGAAATGTTAAATTTAAAGGAGTAAAATAAAGATTGTTAATTGATAGTAACTGTAGAAGAAACTTTATCTAAATATTTTACAATATAAATGTAAGGAGGCGTGTTGGTAATTGTGTACATTTATATTGGCAACACTTTTTTTCTGTATGCTCTCTCTCTCTTCAATATGGCGTAAGCAAAGTATTACTCGTTTGATGTAACTGTTCCTTTTATATCAAATAAAAAAGAAAAAGAAAAACAAGAATGTGTAAATTAATTATTTTAACAAATATAAATATAATAGAATATTTTTTATTCAATATAGACCATAATATGTAGTCCTTATTGAAAGTCATTTTTCACTTTACCACTGATTCGGAAAAATACCTCTACCCTGGGAAGAACCAGCAAGAAACCCAGCGGGACTTTTTTTAAGTAAATTTTACATGAAAGTTGCACAAACTATTTACAAAATTTATTTTAGGAAAAGATTGGAAGCGACCATCTATTTCCCAGGGGTTATTATCAACCATGATTCATTTGTATTATAATAACCCTTTTTATACAATTTTTAAAAATAATGACGAACATCTTTTCCTACTCAATCAGGTTCAACCCTATGGACAAGGAGTTTGACGGCATCCATTCGGCGCATCTGACTCTAGCGGTGATCTCCGGGCAGTACGTGGCAGAGAACGTGTACTCTTTCTACAACGCGTTCGTGGAAGTGGAGGTGCTGGGTGTCCCGGCCGACTGCAAGAAGATACGGACCAAGGTCGCCAGGAGGAACGCGCTGAATCCCGTCTGGAACGAGACCTTCAGCTTCAAGGTGGGTAGTGTCATATTGAAACATTGAATGAAACTATTTTTACGGATTCATGGATGTTTATTGTTAAATATAAGAAAGCATTATATGGAAATATTTTAACCGACTCCAATAAAGAAGAAGGTACTCTTTTTGTAGGTAATTTTTGTATGTATATCACGCGATATCTTCGCTAATCGTGAACTAATTTTCTGCTGACTTCCAAAAAGGAGCCGGTACTCAATTCGACTGTATGTTTTTTTTTTTCGTTTTTTTTTTATGTGTGTTACCTCAGAACTTTTTTCTGGGTGAACCGATTTCGATGATTCTTTTTTTATTTGAAAGCTGGTACTTCTCGTGTGGTCCCATATGAATTTGATCAAGGTCAGATCAATAGTTTTTAAGTTATTCTTAAATAACTTATATTGAAGTCGGCTGTACAAAATTTTTAATTTTAAATTATAACTATTATTTTTATTGATTGTTGTTTCGTTTAAATTTATAGAATAATTTCACACCTTGGGATGGACAAACAGGAAATGAAATTTTAAATATAACATATTACATTGTTGAGAAAATCTCTGTCCGATCCGTGAGGGTGTTTCAGTTATGGTATATGATTCTGTTCTTTAAAGATAAAAAACACTTTATAAAAAAAAAATATAATTAAACGGGGAAACCACCATTATATTAATTAAACGTACAATACATGCGGTACAGGCGGTCGTTTGGGTAAAAACACCGTCACACGGTCAACTTCAAATATACCGTCGCCGAAACGGTGTTGCCAGTTTTTAAAATTTGCTATATTTTAAGCAATTTGTTGTAATACCAAATATTTCAAATAACAATAACATTTTATTTCATTAATAATATTTTTTGGTAATGTCATTGCGTGTCTCATCCCGATCGGTATGGGCTTTCTTTATATAGTGTCTGTGTCTGTGTGTCTGTCTATGGAACCGTAGCGCCCAAACGGACGCATACCTAATATACCTACATAATCTTCAATTTAATTATATACAGGGTTATTTTTCAAAGAGTAGCCAAATTTTAAACTTAAGTTCATATATATAAATAATGATATTGTGGTGTCGGTACTATGATAAAACAATATAACAGGAATATTAAATGATATCATCACTCAACGTGGACTCCATATAAGGAGTAGAAATAACATCTATTTGGTTCAGTAATATCATATTATATTTATAGAAGAAGATACCATTCATGTGGCTCTACCTGGAACCACGTAACACAAACCCTGCCCCCTACCTATGTACCTACGTCACAACCACTATATATAAGTCTCCTTCAACCCAATAAAGTGAGAATTATTAAACTGCATCACTGAGTTTAAATTACTGCTTGTCCAAACATTACATGGCGACCCTGCCAGGCGGTGCGCTGCTACAATGCACGCGCACCGCCGGGCCTACTATTTAAAAAGAAGAAAAAATATTATAAGAAAACTTAATTAAATAATGGACAGTTTTTAAGAGGATTGACAATTTAAAAAAATATATATTATAACGGAATGGACGCAATACCGGATGTGACGAAAAATAAACAAATATGAATACAAGAAGAGGCCACAATAATTATTTTATTGAAAGTGACTTAAAATTTAAAATATATAATATATAGTACTATGAAGACGAGTAACGAGGAAGGAGGAAAACAAATAGTGGATTTTTTATATCATGACCAAAGATCAAAATTTAAGATTCGGCAGATCTATTTAAAAAGAAAAGAAGCAGTTGTATTCATGCGAGCACCACCCAGAAGAATGCGAAAATTGAGCCAAAAAAGAACAAAGAAGAAATTAAGAGTTATGGTGTTCTATCTTGAGCTGTGTGACTGGGTGTACGCGTTTAACGAAAAGTAACAACCAAGAACATGGGCGGTTATCAAACTAAAGAAGAGATCATGATTGTGCAAAATACAATGGGAAGCAATAAGGCAGGAACTGAACAATTGCAATTTCACCTGACTATGTTATATATTTCGTAAAATTATATTAGGTGTACTCTATTCTACATATTGGTGGTAAGTTATGAATATTTCTTTAGAACAGTTATATGAGAAATTAAAAGAAGTTAGAGCATATTTAATAAAAATTGCATCGAGTTAACCTGAAGGGAAAAATTTTAGATACCAAACAAAAAGTGGTTATAATAAATTTTAATAGTAAAGTAAAGGAAGATAAGATTAAATCTACTGATATTCCATTCAAAACTTTAAGAATTGAAATTTTTCATGTTGTTTTGCTATTATATTTTTTCTAAAGTTAGTACGTATTAAATATTCTGTGTTTAATATAATTTGATTAAGTTGAAAATATTTATTCAGACATTTAACGATTCAATTGCAATTTTATTAGTTTTATTACTTTGTCTAAATAAAAACTATACCGCAATAGTATAAATTAAGTTAGGTATACACTTATTTGGTACTTCTATTAAGGCACAAGACTACTTTACATGCACTTTCATTCAGTTATAGTTTTAATTATTTTATTACTGTGTCAAGTAAAAGATGAATGAAATAATGAAATACCATAATAGATTACATTTTTTACGTACTTGATTTCTCCATAATTTATAGTTAAATAACACTGAGACCTTAGATTCTATAAAATTATATAATCTAAGACTGTGACACATTTCGTCGTTTTTATTTTTTTTGGAATCCAAATTTTAAAAAGGGTTATAGACAATTCGTTTTATTTTTAGTTCTAAAAGCCGACGGTACTGTCTTAAAGTTATATTATGATAAATTAAAATTATTTTTTTCTTTCAAGGTTTTAAATAAATTAATATTTTCTTATATGTAAACTCGATGGCCGTTACAGCGATTGTTTCAATTAATTTTTGTATGTGATATAATTAACATTTTTAGAACCAATGAATAAATGTATGTACTATAACTATAAACGACAAAACTAAGTTTCTGTGTAAATTTAAAAAAAAAATTCTTAGAATCTCATTTTAAGGTTGCATTCATATTACATATAATATATTCTACAAGTTATCTTAAAATTAGGTATAAATCACACCGTGTGATCTGATCATAGTTCGATGCAATCGGAAACGTTTCATATAGGTACTTACTTTCGAATTTAAAACAAAGGTGTCTCAAATTGCTGTTAAGAATATAATTTGTATGTTGATCTGTCTGGTGTTATCACTGTATCATGATGACTTATGTTCCCGTTAGTATTTCTTGGTTCTGTATCATAACATGAAATGTAGTTTATTCCTTTCGATTTTACATTTATTGAACTTTTAAATCATAAACTTTTAACTATTATAATTTAATATTTTCTCGGGAAATAGTACTTACTTGCGTGTATTATGAAAATATTTTCTTCGCTTTATATGATTTTGAAACTCATTATATTATGTAGACAATTAAGTACCTAATTAATTTAAAATTTGTTGTGCCCATATTGTGAGCCTCAACCCCTAAGTGACAATGATGTAACTAAATATTATACGGGACTATATGATATAAATTCATAAAAGACGTAAGTAAATTTATGGATAAGTTACGGAGTTTATCATTATGAGTGAAAAATATTGATAGAAGTATAAGTAGAAAGTGTGGCATAGGTAAAGAAAATTGTCGGTGGTTAGCATATCCACATACAATCAGCCTGATCAGCTGAGAGTTTGGAAAAACTAATAACCGATTAATTTTAAGGTTGTTCGGAAAAGATTAAATGTAGAATAACTTTTAATGTATTATCAATGAGGGAAATGAGAATTTATTATGAATTGTATAGGAATATTGTCCATAATCTTGGGTACTATTAAATAATGAGGTATTGGTAAGTACCATAAAGTAAAGAAATAAATAGAAATAAAACGAAAGTTGACCTGCATAAAATAAGTAATGGAGAGATACGGGAACGTCCATCACTGGTAAAGCATATAGTCCTCGAGCAGGGTATGTTTCCATGATTGGATGATAAAATCGGAAGTAACGGGTACTAGGGAACAATACCTTCAGTACAAGTGAGATGTGAACGAGTTTACTCATATTAGTACTGTTGGGGACCAGAGAAGTCTTAAATTTGTTACCCTTAATAATGGTACATAGAGGTCACATCCTTCGTTGGATCATAGTGTGAACTTAGTTTTCCTCCGTGACAATTGTTGGAGTCTTTTAAAATGACTTAAGTTGACCTCAAGGTTGTGCGCACAACCCAAGGTACAGTTTTACCTTGATATAATATGATAAAAAAAAATATGTACCAATAAAATAAAATGAATGTAATGAAAATATAATACCCAAGTAAATGGGGGGCCCATATTTATAAAGTACCCGCGTGATATAAATCATGAAATAAAATATAAATGAAGTAAATTAATACTCCGATTCCTGGTATCTAATAAATAAATAAATATATAAAGCTAGCTAAAGGTCAAAAATAATAAGAGATAAAAGAAAGTACGTACAAAAAATTATGAAAAAAGGCCTGACAATCGAAAACAAAGGATATGAGAGTAGTGTTAGTATTTATGAAAATATATAACACGCAAAGACATGAGAACAATTAAAATGAGGTAATAAAGGGATGCCTCGAACAAATCTAAAAAGTTAGATATTATGTAGTTATTTCGCATTTCTATATTATTACCTACAATCCTACTCAAAAGGCTACTTAGAAGCTACACATCTAGTAATTATAGGAACGATCCACACAACCACACAAAAAAAAAACCCAATTAAATTTGATAAATACATTTTCGCGTAGATTTACATTAATTTACGATTTTTTTTATTTATGCACATTGACTCATAGTTACAATAACTCTACCTTAAACTTCTCGTGTTATATATTTTTTTGTTGTTTATGAATAATTTGTACAATTTTAAACAAAATTTGGTATATTGCTTACTAAAATCAAATCCAAAGCGTATCGATACTCTATTATTATAAGTTTGATAATGTAATAATATTTTTTTTTCTCTATATAGACAGTCAAACCTAAGTTTACGTTAATACATATTTACTTAAAAAAAAAAATTGTCTTCAAATGTTA